ATCGAACCAACCAGCTTTTATGTCTTTCCTCAGGGTCAATGCCAAGTGGGGAGGATATGAATTTGACCAGACCGAGAGGAACAACCTTGAAACAAACTGGTTTTGTGATATGGCCCCTCTGACAGTGTATCATCAATCTGGAGGACGTGGGCAACATCAGAGGTAGATCATTAGATGGTAGATTGTGTGTGTGTGTGTGTGTGTGTGTGTGTGTGTGTGTGTGTGTGTGTGTGTGTGTGTGTGTGAGAGAGACAGGCTGTGGTTGATCTCATCTCATAACAGTCTGTCATAACAGATAGCACTGACTCCATTACTGTAGAATTATTACTGTAGAATTATTACTGTAGAATTATTTGTTTGAATCACTTTTTTTTTTTGCCAGAGTCAATAACAATGAAAACAATAACAATACTCACATTCCTTGATATGAACATGTACAGTATGTCAGACACACTGAAATCAAGTTTATTTGAAAGACATTGTAACATTGCTCAAGAAGCGCTTCAGTGGTCTCTGCTGTGATGTCCTCATGTCCATGTCCTCAGAAACCCACAGCTGAATGCATCTTTGAAGCACCATTCAGCTGATACACTATGATTTATAATAATAATATAATAATATGCCATTTAGCAGACGCTTTTATCCAAAGCGACTTACAGTCATGTGTGCATACATTTTTACGTATGGGTGGTCCCGGGGATTGAACCCACTACCCTGGCGTTACAAGCGCCATGCTCTACCAATTGAGCTACAGAGGACCAATCGTCTGTGTGTGTCTTGTGTCTGTGTCTGTAGTTGTGTCTGTCTTGTGTCTATAGTTGTGTCTGTCTTGTGTCTGTAGTTGTGTCTGTCTTGTGTCTGTAGTTGTGTCTGTAGTTGTGTCTGTCTTGTGTCTGTGTCTATGAGGCTCTGATAGGGGCTGAGTCTGTTACTGTCTTCTGTTTGAGCAGTAGAGCAGTCTGTCTCTCTGAATGTCTCTGTCTCTCTGAATGTCTCTGTGTCTCTGAATGTCTCTGTCTCTCTGAATGTCTCTGAATGTCTCTGTCTCTCTGAATGTCTCTGTGTCTCTGTCTCTCTGAATGTCTCTGTGTCTCTGTCTCTCTGAATGTCTCTGTCTCTCTGAATGTCTCCGTCTCTCTGAATGTCTCTGTGTCTCTGAATGTCTCTGTCTCTCTGAATGTCTCTGTCTCTCTGTATGTATCTGTCTCTCTGAATGTCTCTGTCTCTCTGAATGTCTCTGTCTCTCTGAATGTCTCTGTGTCTCTGTCTCTCTGAATGTCTCTGTATCTCTAAATGTCTCTAAATGTCTCTGTGTCTCTAAATGGCTCTGTGTCTCTAAATGTCTCTAAATGTTAACCCCCCCCCCTTCCAATGTGATCTGTGATCAGTCTCCCTGCTCCATGCTATCAGTAGTACTATCATCCCTCTCTGCCCAGTGGAGACATTCAACTTCGGAATGCAAAGAAAATCACTGCTGTGAGCACGCCAAAACAAGCCAGAGCTGTTGTGATGTCCAACACTGTTGAATATCAATTTTAACAACACCTACAGTTGGTTATTTATTACCTAATATCTTGTTTCATTACTGTTTCAGACACAATTTAATGTATTTATTATTATTTTTAATTTAGAAATATTTCAAATGGGTTTTAGTATGAATTAGAAAAATAAGTCTCCCTGTTTCCATAGATCTCCCTCTGCAATGAATATGTTGAGTGGAGCGTTATAATTGTCCCTCTAGATATCCTTCCTTATGTTGCGGATGAAAGCGATACAGAATCCTTTCACAATAACAATGTATTCAATAAGCATGCATTCTCAGATACACTACATGAACAAAAGTCTGTGGACACCTGCTCGTTGAACATCTCCTTCCAAAATCATGGGCATTAATATGGAGTTGGTCCCCCCCTTTGCTGCTATAACAGCCTCCACTCTTCTGGGAAGGCTTTCCACTAGGTGTTGGAACATTGTTGCGGGGACTTGCTTCCATTCAGCCACAAGAGCATTAGTGAGGTCGGGCACTGATGTTGGGAGATTAGGCCTGGCTCGCAGTCGGCGTTCCAATTCATCCCAAAGGTGTTCGATGGGGTTGAGGTCAGGGATCTGTGCAGACCATTAATTATTCCTCCTCCACCAAGCTTTACAGTTGGCACTTTGCATTGGAACAGGTAGCGTTCTCCTGGCATCTGCCAAACCCAGATTCTTCCGTCGGACTGCCATATGGTGAAGTGTGGTTCATCACTCCAGAGAAGGCGTTTCCACTGCTCAAGAGTCCAATGGCGGAGAGCTTTACACATTTACATGTACATTTTAGTCATTTAGCAGACGCTCTTATCGAGAGCAACTTACAGTTAGTGAGTGCATACATTTTTCATTACACCACCCCAGCCGACGCTTGGCATTGCGCACAGTGATCTTAGGCTTGCGTGCGGCTGCTCGGCCACAGTTCTTGTGCTGACGTTGCTTCCAGAGGCAGTTTGGAACTCTGTAGTGAGTGTTGCAACCGAGGACAGACGATTTTTAAGTGCTACGCGCTCCAGCACTCGGCGGTCCCGTTCTGTGAGCTTGTGTGGCCTACCACGTCGCGGCTGAGCCATTGTTGCTCCTAGACGTTTCCACTTCACAATAACAGCACTTACAGTTGACCGCGGCAGCTCTAGCAGGGCAGGAATTTGATGAACTGACTTGTTGGAAAGGTGGCATCCTATGACAATGTCACGTTGAAAGTCACTGAGCTCTACAGAATACACATGATATCATTGATAGAACAGAATACACGATATCATTGATAGAACAGAATTCACATCACACTCTGAAAGCAGGAACACAAAGATCCAAGGCTGTCATTGGACACAACCAGTTCTGAGCCAAAGAAGCCAGAAGCCATTTCATCAGATACTGTAGATAGGCTATCATTTATAAACTACAAGGCTCTTCCCAATCTGCCAAACATTTATTCATCTGACTGAGCTGCTTGAAAGAGGACATTTTCAACAGCAAAAGCCAAACGGGGGGCATGAGGAACCCAGTAACAGTGATGACAGCCATGGTGTCTGTGAAGGTTATGCTGTACACAATGTGCCTGTGTGCCCCATGGTGGCTAGGTTCAATCTGAGGGGACCAGTGAGGGCCTGTTTGCCCTCTGTAACAGCTACGAAGGCTTCTCCAGTTGCACCATGTTTCCAGCAGAGTAGCTGTTACATTTTGTGGAGAGAGGGTGGCTGCATCCCAAAATACACCCTATTATATTATATCCCTTTATATTCCCACTACTTTTGACCAGGGCCCATAGGGCACTATAGTACATGGGGAATAGGGTGCCATTAGGGACACATCCAGTGCTATTCCAAACCACTGTACAACACAACAATTGGGCCAGAGTGTCTGAAATGACAGTATGCTGGTAGTAGTGTGACATATTGTCGTCAAACTCAAAGCTTTGTTACATCAGGCAGCAGTCTCCCACTCACAAGATGTCATGAATGTGGACTATTCATTCAACTTTACTACATTGACGTACACACCGGTTTCATCCAAGAGAACAACAGGTCAATGTACAACAGGACAAAGTAGCACTACAATTAAAGTATATAGCTTCAATCAAAGTATATAACTTTAATTACAGTATATAACTACAACTACAGTATATAACTTCAATTACAGTATATTACAACTTCAGGCCTAGTCTCTTTTTTAAAATGGTGGACGTTTCTCTCTAAATAACCCAACAACCTAAAATGGCTGACTGACTGCCTGCTACTATGTGTACAAATGACAACATAGGCTAAGTTGATAGTATGAATGTCAGATACCCATGAGTACCTATTTGATTCATTATCAGGTACATATAGTTTGTCTTGGATCTTCCTCTCTGGCTCCAGTGCTCTCTCCTTCACGATCAGACCAGCTCTCAACAGTGGTAGGAAAGCCATTGCTGCACTACTCCTCAATATTGTCTCATGTAGGCTATGAAATATGTCTCAAGTAGCTGCTGTGCACATTAAAGGATGTGTCACTGCAATAGAGCGTTGCAGCTCAATCGTTTATCTTTGATGAAAACTGTTGATGTTTGCATTTGCATGGCAAAAAGGTACACGTCGTTGTGCAAGACACTGAAGTCTAATTCCATGGATTCGATGACAGGGATGGATCCTCCTGTCAAATGAAACCAAGAACTAACACTACCACCCAGTGGTACAACGTGCCACATCATACAATCTGGCAAGACAACGCCACACTAAAATAATGTTCGCGTGGATATGTGACTCATCGAAAATAATATAGGAAGTTCTAAAACTTGTATGCTGGCCCTTTAGTATTTTGTCAAACCTTTGTCAAACAAATAAGAGGACAGATGCCTAGAATCAACTTTTTTATTTTACAAGTGGGTAAACATTAACTATATTCAGAGAGTGAAAGGAAAACTTAATACAGCTGTCCAAATCAACGTGAATTACAATAGCTGCTTTCATTAAGACAAAACAGACAGCGATCTTACATAATCTAATTTACCTGCAGTAGGACTAATGTTAACCCATAGAGGTACATGCTCTATTTAATTCTGTGCATCAATCATACTGGATATTCATAGTGGATGCGTCCCAAACTGTACTCTATTCCCTATATATTCCCACTACCTTGGACTAAGGCCTATAGGGTGCCATTTGGGAGGTTTACATAATAGGGTTTAAATAACTGAAAGTGGACAGCTTGGCAGCGCCAGCTCATTCCAGTGTTCCATAAAGACATTACAGCAAGACTGTTCTGCAGTCAGGGGGCTCTTCCTTCTCATTGGTCATCTTTCATATCAGCACCAACCAAAAGCTAACACACAGAAACAAGAACACAATTAGGCTAAAACAGGTTGCAATGGGGGAGAAGAGAAAGAGTAGGGATGGATGGAAGGTTGGTCGATATTGAATTGATTGTCGCTTAATATATATTTAGAGAGAGAGGGAGAGAGTTAACCTGTTCCATAAAGGAAAGAGGATGATTTTTCACTTGGGGCCAATGTAGTTGGCTGCCTTTCCAGTCTTCTTCAGTGTCTCCAGAAGCACATCCGTGTCCTTGTCAGACTCAATGAAAACCTTCTTGTTGGGGAGGTCGATCTCAAATTGGACACCACCTTATGCCAACAGATAAGACAAAAAAAAAAAAAAATTTTAGCAAGCCAAGTCAATATGACAAGTAATCTATATTTGCTGAATTTAGCTAAGTGTGTGTGCGTGTGGACGCGTGTGCGTGTTGTTTAACAACCTCTTCCAGATGTTCCAGGAAGCTGGATTTGCTGTGACGTTTAGCTATAAGAGACACTCACCCAGTTTATTGAGGACTCGGGTGACAGCACCGGAGCATCCCTCACATGTCATGTCCACAAAGAATTCGTGCTTCTGTGGGAATAATTCACAAACGGATTCGTATTCCATGAGTTACGCATCATTCTCATGCTAGTATGGGACAGCTAACCAGTTAGCAAGCAATGACTAGCTCAGCTATTAGTCTGATTCATCAGGCTGTAATACACAATTAATTGGTATTTACAGCCTGAACTAATGACTGCAAAATCGTGTAAATGTTTCTTACAAGCCAGAATGTTGAATAAAATTACATTTAAACTTACTCTACAACGGTTGTCTGTGCGGTTGAATTTGTTCTTCAGCTGCTCGAAATTTGAGACAAAATATCCACAGGAAAGTATTGTTTACCTGACTTTTTAGAAAACAGGTAGGTATATGGTTCGGTTCTGCCCCGAGGTAAAATGAGTTTTGTATTGGATATTCGGTTCTTTCATTAATAGCTATTGAACCAAGCATGCCATGACAATGAAACCCCATGCTTTTCTGAATCAGGGGAGGATGGAGAGCATTCCACACCTTTTTTGTGTTAAGTATAGTTTACCCGAATCAGTATCTTAGTGTTAGAGACCTCCCTAATACTCAGAAAGCGCAGATTCAAACTCCCATTCGCCAGCTCTGCAAGCATTATAATGTCAAAATACTTTCGTTGATCACCAAATATGGAGTTTCGCTGCGCAACTATCTTCATTTACACCCTTAAAGGCTGGTATGTACTTCTAAAAAAACGTCTAAATAAAAATTTACAAGCAACCGAAACAAAATAAGCCTTTTCGGCGCCTCCAATCACTCATTACTGCCATGCACAGGTAGGAAATCTACAACTGCTCAATATTTTGGAGGCTCCTAATAGGCTTTTTTTTTCTTCAGTTGGTTGTAAATTTATATTTTGACCTTTTTTGTTAGTACATTCCGGCCGTTACAGGGGTAAATGAAGATAGTTGCTCAGCGAAACTCCATATTTGGTGATCAACGAATGTATTTTGACATTATAATGCTTGCAGAGCTGGTGAATGGGAGTTTGAGTCCAGATACGCCCAGATACTGATTCAGGTAAACTATACTTTCCTGTGGATATTTTGTCTCAAGGACAAACCGCACAGACAACCGATATAACAATAATATAATTGTATTAAACATTCTGGCTTGTAAGGAACATTTACACGATTTTGCAGGCATTAGGCTGTATACCAATTCATTGTGCATTACATACTGATTAATCAGACTAACTAGCTATGGATCAAAACACTGCAGTGCAATCTCAGAACCAGCTAAGAAGCTAGCTACGTGTTAGCTATTTAGCTATGTAACAATAACAATATGCGAATGTATTCAATAACTCACGGTCGTCATGTTGAGTTTGAGCGCAAGATCAATGGACTTTCTCCTCTCTCAAAGCATGCACGACTAACTAGCTACTGAATGTGTTGCTGCCTGGCTTGCTAGCTACAGTAAATCAAATTAAGGGACCATCTACACGTTGCTAGATATTGGTGAAAGTAACTTTGCATTTTTTACGCAATATTCATATGTAGAAAGTTGGTGGGATGAGTGCACAATTATACTGACTAATATCAATATTATTATTTTGCTAAAACACTTTCAAATAAAATTATTTTGGGAGAAGTCGTTTTTTCCATCACTATATTGCTGCAAGTAACTTATCCAGAGCCCTTAACACGTCACACCGGAATACGGAAGTTTGGAACGTTTTTGAATTTTTTTTTTTTTTTAACCAAACTGCAACAAAGTAACCAAATTTGAGAAACCGCGAAAAAGGGACAAGTCACATGTGGCGTCACAATAAACGATAGATTCTGCTTATTTCAATTTTCTGCTTATATCAATTTGCCCAGCTTGCTACATGGGCGAACACCGCAGCGCTCACGCTTTTATCAACTTGGCCAATTCAATGTTTGTGGTGATGTTTCACATCAGACAATCGGCATCATTTCACACTAACGATAATTGACTTCGTTTTGATGGAAATAGTTAGTTTGCTAACAAGCCAGCTAGCTAGCCACAAAATCAAGCGTCCAAAATTCGATCAGCTGACCTGCGGCATCTTCCAGATCATGTGACCAAACCCCCCCTGTGTGTCGGAAGTGGTCTTCAGATAGCACTAGCAGTTCACTTGTATATATATATTTTTTTGTCATTTAGCAGACGCTCTTATCCAGAGCGACTTACATGAGCAATTAGGGTTAAGTGCCTTGCTCAAGGGCACATCGACAGATTTTTTCACCTAATCGGCTCGGGGATTAGAACCAGCGACCGTTCGGTTACTGGCACAACGCTCTTAACCACTAAGCTACCTGCCGCCCTGGTATTGATCCAGAAATCGCCTCTTCCTCTCACATCCAGTACAATATCGACGTGGTTGGTAGGAAAAATACCGCTCTACCAAGAGATGCCCTTCCAGCGAACTCCTTTGATGTAAATACTACCGAGCCAGGAATCACTGCTTTATAGGTGAGTTATCATAAATGAATCATAGATAACTAGCTAGCTAATTAGCCAGGATTAACGCATGCAAAACAAACTGATTGATGTGTTGTCAACTAACGTTATCCAGCTGGAGGTGGCGTAGCTGTAATATGTGATTATGTTGTTGGAACTTGATATAAGATGGCTTGGCTAACGTGTAGCTCAGTTGGTAGAGCATGGCGCTTGCAACGCCAGGGTTGTGGGTTCGTTTCCCTGGGGGGCCAGTATGAAAAATGTATGCACTCACTAACTGTAAGTCGCTCTGGATAAGAGCGTCTGCTAAAATGACTAAAATGTCAAATGAATACAGCCCCAACAGAACGGTTTCTGATAATGGCTTTGAGACCTTACAAAAAAAGATTTCAGTTTTGAAACTGCAGAAAAAGTGTAGTAACTGCAGTCGACTGGTATTTTGGACGCAGTAATTGCAGAATAATAACTGTAGTTATACTGCACTCTAACGGCAATCTTTTTTCGTAAGGGGGGGCCATAGCCTTGCTAGTCACTGTGCCAGCTTCTTCAACATTTTAGGTTAATCCAAGCATGTTTACATTCAGATGCAAGGCAAGGGCTAGTGGCAAGTCCATGCAATTTTTCACACAATGTACAGGTAACTGCTAAAATAAAGGTTGTGTGTCAGTCACCAGATCTCAACTAGGGCCGGGCGATATATCGAATTTATGTTTTTGCGCGATATTCCAAATGCCTGTATCGCAATAATCAAGTTTTCTTTTGTTGTTTTGTTGTTGTTTTGCGCATGTTGTCTTTTTGGTCTTGCCTCCTTCACTCCTGCTGTGCTGTGCACCTTTCCATTTACACCAGAGATCTGTATATAATGACGAGATGCCTCCGCCCTAACAATGATAGTCGTTGTCCCAAAGGTGGGAAGGCAGATGACAAGCTTAGGTCCAAAATAAGCCCAAAGAAACGCATTGGGCTTATTTTGAGAGTTTTTGGTGAGAGTGAAACCTCTCGCTTCGCCTCTTTCTCTATGTTTACAAACACACCAAGCGCCCCCTCCCGCCACTCACAAAATCAAATCATCAAATCACATTTTATTTGTCACATGCTTAATAAACAACAAGTGTAGACTAACAATGAAATGCTTACTTACGGGTCCTTTTCCAACAATGCGGAGAGAAAGATTAAATAATAGAAAAGTAATAATACGAGGAATAAGTACACAATGAGTAACGATAACTTGGCTATATACACGGGGTACCAGTATCGAGTCGATGTGCAGGGGTACGAGGTAATAACTTGGCTATATACACGGGGTACCAGTACTGAGTCGATGTGCAGGGGTACGAGGTAATAACTTGGCTATCTACACGGGGTACCAGTATCGAGTCGATGTGCAGGGGTACGAGGTAATAACTTGGCTATATACACGGGGTACCAGTATCAAGTCGATGTGCAGGGGTACGAGGTAATAACTTGGCTATATACACGGGGTACCAGTATCGAGTCGATGTGCAGGGGTACGAGGTAATAACTTGGCTATATACACGGGGTACCAGTATCGAGTCGATGTGCAGGGGTACGAGGTAATAACTTGGCTATATACACGGGGTACCAGTACTGAGTCGATGTGCAGGGGTACGAGGTAATAACTTGGCTATATACACGGGGTACCAGTATCGAGTCGATGTGCAGGGGTACGAGGTAATAACTTGGCTATATACACGGGGTACCAGTATCGAGTCGATGTGCAGGGGTACGAGGTAATAACTTGGCTATATACACGGGGTACCAGTATCGAGTCGATGTGCAGGGGTACGAGGTAATAACTTGGCTATATACACGGGGTACCAGTATCGAGTCGATGTACAGGGGTACGAGGTAATAACTTGGCTATATACACGGGGTACCAGTATCGAGTCTGTGCAGGGGTACGAGGTAATAACTTGGCTATATACACGGGGTACCAGTACTGAGTCGATGTGCAGGGGTACGAGGTAATAACTTGGCTATATACACGGGGTATCAGTACTGAGTCGGTGTGCAGGGGTACGAGGTAATAACTTGGCTATATACACGGGGTACCAGTACTGAGTCGGTGTGCAGGCGTACGATGTAATTGAGCTAAATATGTACATATAGGTAGGGATAAAGTGATTAGGTAACAGGATAGATAATAAACAGTAACGGCAGCGTATGTTGATGAGTTAAAAGAGTAAAGGTGTCTACAGACAATATGCAATAAGGGCCAACGGAGCGTAGCGCAATGTCGTTTTTCATCACAAAAGGGGCGGCTCCTTGTAATACACTCTGTCATTCTGAGACCCGACGTATCATTCCTTGCGAATACTGAGGGGCAGTATTGAGTGAGTTTTGCAATGGAAGTCCCGCCCCTGTGTCTACATCACATATTTTCCGGTATCCCTTCTGGTATAAACACAGAAGAGATGGACGCTCTGCTACTTCTGGTATAAACACAGAAAATATGGATGTTCTGCTACTTCTGGTATAAACACGGAAGAGTGACATTCTGCTACTTCGCCTCTACTACTTACAAGCTTCCTTTTGTGCTTTTCATTTCGAGATTTGCTAAGCGCAACTATGTCTACAGTCGTGGTCAAAAGTTTTGAGAATGACACAAATATAAATTTTCACAGTCTGCTGCCTCAGTTTTTATGATGACAATTTGCATATACTCCAGAATGTTATGAAGAGTGATTAGATGAATTGCAATTAATTGCAAAGTCCCTCTTTGCCATGAAAATGAACTTAATCCCCCAAAAACATTTCCACTGCATTTCAGCCCTGCCACAAAAGGACCATCTGACATCACGTCAGTGATTCTCTCGTTAACACAGGTGAGAGTGTTGACGAGGACAAGGCTGGAGATCACTCTGTCATGCTGATTGAGTTAGAATAACAGACTGAAAGCTTTAAAAGGAGGGTGGTGCTTGAAATCATTGTTCTTCCTCTGTTAACCATGGTTCCCTGCAAGGAAACATGTGCCGTCATCATTGCTTTGCACAAAAAGGGCTTCACAGGCAAGGATATTGCTGCTAGTAAGATTGCACCTAAATCAACCATTTATCGGATCATCAAGAACTTCAAGGAGAGAGGTTCAATTGTTGTGAAGAAGGCTTCAGGGCGCCCAAGAAAATCCAGCAAGCGCCAGGACCGTCTCCTAAAGTTGATTCAGCTGCGGGATCGGGGCACCACCAGTGCAGAGCTTGCTCAGGAATGGCAGCAGGCAGGTGTGAGTGCATATGCACGCACAGTGAGGCAAATACTTTTGGAGGATGGCCTGGTGTCAAGAAGGGCAGCGAGGAAGCCACTTCTCTCCAGGAAAAACATCAGGGACAGACTGATATTGTGCAAAAGGTACAGGGATTGGACTGCTGAGGACTGGGGTAAAGTCATTTTCTCTGATGAATCCCCTTTCCAATTGTTTGGGGCATCCGGAAAAAAGCTTGTCCGGAGAAGACAAGGTGTGCGCTACCATCAGTCCTGTGTCATGCCAACAGTAAAGCATCCTGAGACCATTCATGTGTGGGGTTGCTTCTCAGCCAAGGGAGTGGGCTCACTCACAATTTTGCCTACGAACACAGCCATGAATAAAGAATGGTACCAACACATCCTCCGAGAGCAACTTCTCCCAACCATCCAAGAACGGTTTGGTGACGAACAATGCCTTTCCAGCATGATGGAGCACCTTGCCATAAGGCAAAAGTGATAACTAAGTGGCTCGGGGAACAAAACATCAAAATGTTGGGTCCATGGCCAGGAAACTACCCAGACTTTAATCCCATTGAGAACTTGTGGTCAATCCTCAAGAGGCAGGTGGACAAACAAAACCCCACAAATTCTAACAAACTCCAAGCATTGATTATGCAAGAATGGGCTGCCAG